GGCCAAGCATTAGCCCAGGAACATATGGCAAAGGGCCGCAATGTCGTTCTCTCACCGACTATCAACATCCTCCGGTCGCCACTATGGGCCCGCGCAGCCGAGACCTTCTCAGAAGATCCATGGTTGACCTCTCGAATGGCCGTGGCGGGTGTCCTCGGCGTCCAGAGTCAAGGAGCTTTAGCTTGTCCCAAGCATCTTGCTGGGTACAATCAAGACACTAATAGATTCGGGGTGGGTCCTGATTGGGATACCGTTGACGTTCAGATCGACGAGCGGGTTCTGCACGAGCTTTACCTACCCGCCTTCAAGGCGTCTGTTCAAGAGGCAGATGCCGCTTCTATAATGTGTTCTTACAACAAGCTGAACGGCTTTTTCGCTTGCGAAAACGACTGGCTTCTCAATAATACATTGAGACAAGAGTGGGGGTTTCAAGGTTTCGTTGTCGCTGATTGGTATTTCTCCACAAGAAGTACTGTCAGTGCGGTTATGGCCGGTCTGGATATCAGCATGCCTGGAGGTTCCCTGGAGAGTTCATACGGATTCCCAGCCTACTATGGAGACCTTCTGGTCGAGGCTGTCGAGAACGGAACCATACCAGCCTCGCGCATCGACGACATGGTTGCAAGAACATGGCGATATATGTTCAAGCTTGGAATGGTCGACAATCCAGTCACTGGAAATGCAGAGTCGGTGGCAAGAACACAATCCCACCTTGGTCTGGCTCAGAAGATGGCAGAGGATGGTTCCGTCCTTCTCAAGAATGACGACTATACGCTACCTCTTTCACGACATAAGTACAGGCATGTTGCCGTCTACGGTGTTGACGGGACCAACCAAAGCCAGGTCACGGAGAACCACGGAGGCTTCGTGATCGACACGACAATGGTAGTGCAGTCGCCTTTCGACGCATTGAAGCAGCGAGCTGGCAAAGAAGGCAACATGACAGTCACTTACGCGGAGGCCTATCCTGGCACCGGGCAATTTCCAACGGTGCCTTCTAGCAGATTCGTCGACGGTGGTCTGAATGTCACATACTACACGACTACAGACTTCTCTGGACCCATTAACCAAACCGACTTTGTACCCAACATCACCGCGGCTTCATTCCCTAAGGAGCTATGGGTGTCATGGCCTCAAGTCTTTTCTTGTGTCTATGAAGGCACTTTCAAAGCTAACACAAGCGGGATGTACCATTTCTCCCTAACCGGCCAAGGAGACGCCATACTTCACATCAACGGACAAGTCATCGCCAACATGTCGAAAGCGAACTTTGGAAACACCGTTCAAGGTATCGCGAACTTGACAGCCGGAGACGAAGTTTCCTTGTCCCTGAACTATTCAATGGGTTACTCGCTGTCCACTGGCGCATATGGCGTCACACTGGGAGTCGATGTAGGCGACGAAGCAAGAGATGAAGAAGCAATCTCACTTGCAGAAAAGGCTGATATCAGCATTGTCTTCGCGTCCGATAGGCATTCCGAAGGTGTTGATAGCAACATTGGTCTTTCTCTCCCCGGCGACCAGGACGCAGTCATCTCTCGGATCGCCAAATGTTCGAAGAAGACAGTAGTTATCCTCAACACCAACTCGGCGATTCTCATGCCCTGGATCGATGAAGTCGATGCCGTGATGCAGTCATGGTATGGAGGTCAGCAGATTGGCCTGGCGCTTGAAAGACTACTGTTCGGTGATGTCAGTCCGAGCGGTAAATTGCCGGTGACATTCCCCAAGACACTGGATAACGCCATCCAGATCACTTCAAATCGGATCGTACCTTACGAAGAAGGGCTGAACGTTGGATACAGGTGGTACGACGAGCACAAAGTCGATCCGCTATTTTCATTCGGCCATGGACTCACATACTCGACATTTGAACTGGGCATCCTCGCCGTGCACCTCGCAAACTCTACTGCCACATCTGGCTCTGAGCGCCTCATCTGTTGCACAACTTTGACAAACACTGGAACAGTCTCTGCGTCGGAAGTGGTTCAGCTTTACGTGTCATATCCGGACGCAGCGCGTGAGCCTCCCAAGCTGCTCAAAGCATTTGCCAAAGTCCATCTCGAGGCAGATCAGAGTACAGATGTTCTTCTGGAGGTGCTTATGGATGATCTGAGGATTTGGTCCGAGCAGAAGAAGGACTGGGATTTTGTACATGGCGAGTATAACTTCCTTGTCGGATTCTCGGCGAGCGATATTAAGGTAAAAGGAGAGATTGTTCTTTAAATGTGCTACAATAAACCGAGTTCGATCATACAGTATTATCGCGAATTATTGATCATGTGACGTTGTCAGCAGCGTTCAGGTTTGTGACAAGAATGCACCCTGGCCAATGTTAAACCCAGCGTTGGCGAACAAGAAGGCCCAGGCTTCGTCGTCTACGAAGTCAATATTGAAGGTTGACGCATCTTCCGATGCAGAATCAAAGGTGATCTGATCATTGTACGCTGGGGTGATATCAGGTCTCGGCATAGTCTGCGCATCGGCGGACGCGGCCGCTACGTGCGAAAGCGAAGATGTATGACGCGCCTGCATTGCTTCATGCTGAGTAGAAACATTGCGCAAAAACGCTGCTTGCAATGCGCAGCTTGTGCTGGTTGGCGCTTGAAGTTTCTCGAATACCGTCGCGGCATTGCGAATGCTATCCAGCGCTGGCATTTCCATCTCGGACCGGATATATGATGGTGCTGATAGTAAGACCTATATCCGATGTAAGTAGTTGGCTTTATGAAGGTGAGTTATTAAATACCTTGATGAGGAATACTGCGGCATAGGCGATCATGACATGCACACTGTCCTGAGCAAAGTACAATAGTTGAGATGCCGAAGTTTCAGAAACGAGTTTAAGCATGTCAAGCGCGCTCGAGTAGCTGTTCCAGATAGCTTCTGTATCGACAGAAGTCATAATGTCCTTCAGTTTGATGGATGCGCGTAGTGAAGAGGTGTATAAGAGTAACCGCGCGTAGCTACCATAGAACGGGATCAGAAATGACTAAGAAATGGTGGGCGAAGTCAGCACACTTCTCGCATCACTTCGTGCATGGATCTTACTTACATGACAGTCCTCGCCTCGCTCAGATACTTTCCCAGTCCACCTCTTTTGCCAATTCACTATTTCTGCATCAACCATACGTAGCGTGGATCGATAGCGCGACGTGTCGTGTCTTTGCTGTTGAGCATATTGTGTCGTCATCATCTCACAGTGGGTGGACGTGATGAGGCGAAGGGATACAAATGCGCAAAGTAGCCGGTCATTCGCCATTTCAAGAGGATGCAAGTACCAGTTACTCACTGATTCTAGATAGTTGCTCCTTTCAATCATCCAAGGTTTGCCGGTCTGCAAACTGATGCTGTGTACATGTCAGCATTATGTGATAAGGTCGATACCTTCCTGTCTCTACCTTCGGTCATAGACAAACAGCACCAACCAAGTTCTTTCTATGTTCCTGAATTGCATCGCTTGATGATCCGACGTGTTCTCTGGGGGCCTCATTCCATCGCTCCCGAGATGATGCCAGCCAAGCTCGATGGCCATCCTGATGGCATAGCCTACATTGAGCCATGCACGGTTATCGCGGGGCTCTTTCCAATATGTCAGGATTAGTATAGCTTGAACTGTCTCAACAGATTTTGCACCACTGCGAAAGCTCTCTACATATAGCTCTTCAGCATGTGCAAGCAGTACATTTCGTAGCGCAGGGTGCAACAGCTTTGCCGCTGCCGCCAAAATGGTGGTGAATAGGAACGACGACTTCTCCCGGACATACTGGAAGGCATGTAGCGAAGGGTCCAATTGGCTGATGAAGGGATTGAGATGCTTCATGAACCCAGCAAATAGTTCCGCAGCAAAATGAAGGTTGACGACTCCTTTGATAATCGGGTCATTGTTTGAGCTGTCCCGGACGCATTCCTCTGACGCATGTCCGTGTTCAGTACTGAGCACATTCTGCAAAGAGAAGTCTCCTCTTGTGATCTGTCGGTTGAGAACATCAGAAAGCCGGAAGCCTCTGTTCTCCGTCCAGAATTCTTGGCTTGAACGCTGCGTTGACCGGGGTCGAGAACGCAGTCTAGAAGGTGACCTTTGAGTGCATTGTGTATTTGTTGACGGATTCGCATCACCCACTACAACAACATCATGATCAACATGTTGAGCTTCACCATCCCATGATGGTGGCGCAGCATCCTGCTGACTTCTTGAGCCTGGTTTCTGCAATCTACAAAACACATCAGTCATTTTGCCTCATGGAAAAAGCAGGCATGACGAACTTGAAGCCATGTTTTCGACCACGCCGGTGGCCAAGAAAGTCACACTGTAACGACTTGCGCGTACACCTGACACACCGCGTATCTTGTGCCGTCTTGTGGCACTTCATCTTGACTTTGCGACATTGCAGGCAAGCGTGTGGTCTTCAAACAGATCAGTCGCGCAACTGCAGTCGACCCGGAGCGGACTCACACGGCTTTCGGGGTTTGGCGACCAGGCGCGTCATCAATCTCTGTCATCTTGAATATGTTTATCAGACATTGAGATCGGGTCGGACTGGAACGGACACGATAGTCATATTTGAGTAGAGTGTTGTTGGAAAGAGTAAGGCATCCAGGTGTCTTATCGCTATCTCCACACGCTAACCGCTTTGGAAGCCTTCCCGAGGTCTTTTTGATACGATACCTGCTGCCATCATGTTCCCTCCACGGCATTCAAGGGGAAAGCTCGACGCTCACTTACAAAGCTCTTGCAGCGATACGAACATCTCGGAACCGCTGACCCCGCACGGCTCTCTCAAACCGGACTCAGCACTATGCTGCGACTTCGGTCCACTTCTATCGTTCGTGCAGATCGCCGGTGTTCTAATGTAGACTGAGTCGCCGGCGACATGGTACGTGCCCTCATGACCTTATGCATCCATGCACCATACCATCGCATGGGTTTTTCCTCGATACCTAGGTAGTTCAAGTCAACATCAACTCAACGCACACCTAGATACTACGCAACTAGCAACATGACGCAAATACCACGTTCGAAGGCCAAGACGGCGCACGTCAACATGATGACCGATACCATCATAGCAAACCTACCGGCGGATGCACTTCGAAGCGTGATCAGAGTCATCTTGACAACGGAGCCATCAGCTACAAGCATCCTAGAAGAACAGACGCGAATCTATCTCAAGAAAACCGCCAATCAGTCCGTCGATCAGCTGTTCCAATCGACGACCGAGGGGGTTGCCTCAACCTCGAACTTCACATGGGCCCAGCAGCGCCTACGTTGCGCCATAGGATGCGGATTGGTTCTCGACAGCTTCCCAATACTCAATAAGATCGTAGACGAATCCGTCAGCCTTGCCGACCAACACACCGTGCCTCGGTCGACAGAACTCAACCACAGTTTGGCCTCTGTTGACGGTGATATCGTGCAGGCATTGACTGCAATTCAAAAGCGCTTGTTGTCCAACAGTGGCAGCAGAGACCTCAACGAAGAGGAAAGACCGGCGATGGACTCCCTCTTCACTTCATTGCTACGATGTCACCAAAAATGGCTTGCATCTGCGCAAGACTTTCCTTTCGAACGAAGCACTGCAGTTCTTGCGACTATGCTTGGCCGCGAAAGCGGTATACCGACACTGGCTCATCAAGATAGCTCTTGCCAAAGTCAAATTACCGGACGGAAGACATCGACCTCTATCGAGACTTTCAAAGTCAAGAGTATCGAGCTGCCGAAGCTATTCGCGGGCCTCTGGCAACTGTCTAGTCCATCATGGGGTACTGCGTCACAAACACAGATGTTCAAGCAATTTGCAGAATACATTGCAGGTGGCTTCACAGCATTTGACATGGCTGACCATTATGGCGATGCTGAGGTTATATTTGGACGACTGAGAGCCTCGCTAGCTGACCCTGAGGCCGTTTTCGGTGCCACGAAGTACTGTGTGTTCCACAAGATTACCGTAACCCCCGAAGTCATCCGCGCCAACGTCACAGAGCGGTGCCAGCGCATGAGTGCCAGCAAGGTCGATCTTCTGCAATTCCATTGGCAAGATTACAATGACCATCAGTATATCGAAGCGCTGCGACTGCTGCGGCAAGACGAACGAGTTCGACATCTGGGCCTTTGCAACTTCGACACAGCGCGTCTCCAAGAAGTCATTGACAATAATATTGATGTCGTCACCAACCAGGTCCAATTTTCCCTCATCGATGCACGCCCACGGTTTGGGATGGGCGAGGTTTGCGCACAACACAATGTCAAACTCCTCACATATGGCACTCTTTGTGGAGGCTTTCTGGCTGAGAAATGGCTCGGTAAACCTGAACCACAGCTGTTTGGTCCTGACACGACACCATCGCAGCGGAAGTACTTCGAGATGATCCAGACATGGGGTGATTGGGATCTGTTCCAGACATTACTGCAGACTTTGAAGGCTATCGCGACCAAGCACAACGTCTCCATCTCGAACGTCGCGACAAGATGGGTTCTCGACTTTCCATACGTGGGGGCAGTCATCATTGGCGCGCGCATGGGTGTTAGTGAGCATACGGAGGAGAACCTGAAGACGTATGGATGGAAGCTTGATGAAGAAGATCAGCGGAGTATTGAAGATGTGCTGGAGAAGAGCAGGAGGGAGGAAGTGTTCAAGGTCATGGGCGATTGCGGGAGTGAATACAGGTAACAGACATTTGTTAGATTAATTGCCTAGCTTGTAAATTATACGGTTTTTGGGAAGGTTTTGAAATGTCTGGTAAACCTTCGTGAGCAATTTGAGTTGGTTGCGATCCTGGGCGCGTCGCGTCATTGCAGCCCGCCCGTGCACTCGCCTCGTCTTCCTGTGCCAGCTCTGTACGAACTCTCCCTGTCCACGCGACCGCCTTTCATGCTCATGCCGACCCAGTCCTCTCCTGTACGGACGCCTTGCGGTTTTCGAAACTTCGGCAACTGGCATACGCTCGCAAGCGCCTGCATCGGCTGCCACGGCTGACGTCACCGCCGAACACGCGCATCATGCCCGCACCACGCGCCTGTCTCTGCCATCGCCTCAGCGTCCATCGCCGCACCGTCGCTCCCAATTCTCACGACTCAGGCTACCGAGCTACTACACGCGTGTCACTTCCATGTCCTGGATATACCGCGAGATGCAAACATCGTCGCGCAATTGAAGGCATGGTGGCTGGCGCACCAGCTCCTGGTATAACGATCGAGATGATGACGGGTACGGTGATCATACTGGTGACATTGATTGGAACTACCTGGAGAGCTGTCCGCAGTCTCTAGTGACGCGGCAACGCTTCAAAAGCTGGATATATCGATATCGCGACTGTGTTGAGCGCAACAACACGTCTACGAACATATGCTCGGTGTGCGCTTGAAGCCCTTACGCCTACACATTTGTCCCCGCCAAGGCTCCTAACACCATCTCGTGATAGTCGATGCGCCGAGTCAAGCACGGAAAACGGATGTGTCATGCGTATATCTCACTCCAAAGCTCAAGAGTTTCCTTCCAGACCAACCACCGTGGTATCCGCATGACTGAAGGTCCGCAACCCGGTTCGTATGATCTTGAGCTGAGATTTACAATTCGGATCCGGACATGCGATCAATGCATCCGTGGACATCCAATCATGCGCGTGAGTTGGTCGTTGCTTGGCCGCTAGCAGAGGCAGTACTGCCGCTGAAATGCCAGCCTCATCAGTTCTTGAAGTGTACAGCATTTGTGCTTGAAACTCACCTAAGCTGTAGAAGCTTATGCCCTGTCCTTCGGGAAGACGTAGCATCTCTCCTTCAACAGTAAAGTAGTCTCCTTCCTTGGCTCCACACAAGATGCGCTCGCCTGGCGGACAAACCACCTCAACCCGCAAGTCGTACAATTGAAAAGAGTCGTCCTTGGCCGATGACATTTTGTTGCCTTTGGAAAGTTGCGTTGCTGATGTTTTGCATGCTCATCCCGTCTCTTCTTGGATTCTATTGACTCCCCGTTTGGAGAAGGGTGGGGCCACCGGCGTTCTAAGCATGACAGATAGCAGCCGGCATTTCATGACACCCCAGCACGATCGCCGGTTTTCGGGCGCCCTGACCAGCCCCTATCAGAAACTAGAACCCCGCTATCAACGGTTACGGAGTCACTGAATTCCCCGTGGATGCCGAACTGCTAAGTGAGATAAGCTTCCCGCTTCGGCTTGGTACTTGTAAGAACCGTTGCGCGCTCCCATGCTGAGAGAGCATCATCATGGATCTATCAAAGAAGGATGCTACGCAAGTTGCGCAAACCTCTGCGTCAAACTCAGACGTCGAACATGGAGCCATCGGTACGACTTATGAGGTCAAACGCGATCTTGGGCGTCGCCATATCAACATGATTGCCATAGCTGGCATGATCGTATGTCAAACTACTTCAAAGCATTCTTGCAGTCTCCATACTCATGCATCAACTTTAGGGTACCGGACTTTTTCTAGCATCCGGCCAGGCCATCGCTACCGCAGGACCAGTCGGCGCTCTCTTCGGATATCTGTGCATGGGCTTAATTGCATGCGGTGTCGCCCTGTCTGCAGGAGAGATGTCGGCGTTTATGCCTGTCACTGGAGGATTTGTTCGACATGCTACCAAGTTCGTGCAACCTGCACTCGGCATCGCGACCGGATGGAACTTTTGGTACACCATGGCAATTACGGCGCCAGCTGAGCTCGCGGCTGCGGCAACTTTGATCAACTTCTGGGATAACAGCATCAATCCTGCCGTCTGGTACTCGGTTTTCATCATGATCATTGTGGTTATCAACTTCTGCGGGGTGAAAGTTTACGGCGAGGTAAGTCCTGATGCAACCTAATTTCTAGGTCAACATCTAACAATTAAAAGAGTGAAGTCTTCTTCGCAGCTCTCAAGATCCTTCTCATCATAGGTCTCATCATCGCCGGCCTAGTCGTCGACCTTGGAGGATCCCCTAGTGGAGATCGAATCGGCTTTCGGTACTGGAAGAACCCCGGTCCTTTCAACGAATACATCGTCTCTGGTAATACCGGCAAGTTCCTCGGTTTCTGGAGCTCCTTGATCTCAGCAGCCTACAGCTACGCGAACATCCAGGTGGTCGCCATCGCTGGCGCTGAGACAAGGAACCCCAGAGTCATCATTCCGAATGCGATTCGGATGACGTTCTGGAGAGTACTTATCTTCTACGTGGTCAGCATCTTCATCGTTGGCATGCTTGTACCGTTCAACGACCCGAACCTTGGCATCTCTACTGGTGATGCTCAGCAGAGTCCTTTCGTCATTGCCTTCCAGCGCGCTGGTATCAAAGTCCTGCCATCAATTATCAACGCCATAGTATGCACTTCGGCCTTCAGCTGTGGCTCTGCATGCGTCTTCCTTGCATCACGTACACTGTACGGGCTGGCGGAAGATGGACAAGCTCCCCGTGTCTTGCTTCGCACAAACAGGTTTGGAACGCCATACTTGGCGATCGGAGCTTCGCTCATCTTCATGCCACTTGTCTATCTTAGTCTGGGGAGTAACTCATCCGTCGTGTTCGGGTGGTTTGTCAACATTACAACTATTGCTGGACTGATTGGGTGGCTTGTAATTGAGGTCACGTACCTGAGGTTCTTCTACGCATTGAAAGTCCAAGGCATCAGTCGAGACCGTAAGTTCACCCCCTCTCGTTTTGCCGAAGATGATGCTGATATTACCAGGTCTCGCATACAAGAGCCCATTGCAGCCATACCTCGCTTGGGTCACTGGGGGCGCGCTCGTCCTTGTTATCTTGTTCTCAGGATATAGCGTTTTCTTCCCCGGTCGCTGGAGCGTCGGCACCTTTCTCACGTATTACGTCGATATAGCCATCTTCATTTTCCTGTGGGTCGCTGGCTACTGCTACGCGAGATCGGGAATCATTGCTTTGCAGGACGTTGACCTGTCGGAGATTGCGGATGTTGACCGCGAGAAGGCGGAGATCCTGCACTCGGTGGAAGAAAATCTTTCGTGGTGGAGGAAGTGGGTTATTTAATTTACGCAGGATATCCTTAATGTCTACAACGAAAAAGTTCACATTGTCCACAGACCCAGGCCTCGATGATTTCTGTTGAAGTGACACATGACCAACATACACAGTAGCAAAGGACCAGCTAGATCAGGGAAATGCAACAATATGTGCGGAGTTCATGCTATAGGTATATACATAGAAGTAGAATGAAGCACATCAAGCTTCAACGTGATTGCGAGAAGACGATCCTAGCGCCCAATCCATCGCGTATCCAGATCTACCTACGTCTAGTAGGTGGCGACCTTGGGACCGGGAACAGTGTAGGAGTTGAAGTTGGCGTAGATGTTCGCGGTGTAGCCGGAGTCGGTGCTCTTGACATGGCCGGGGATCTTGGTAGTGGGAGAGGGCTTTCCGCTGCCTCCTCCAGTGACCTTGATCTGAGCGCAAGAGATGTAGAACTGGGGCGGGCTGCCGGGGTTGTGGATGCCGAGCTGCTCGATACGGAGGAGGTACTCTCCAGCGGGGATCTGGGAGGGGATGGTGGTGGAGTAGGTAGCTAAGAAAGTGTTAGATATATTCCAGTGCGAGACTGGAGTTTGTGACTTACCACTCATGTCCCACTTGGCCTGGCCTCCGGAGAAGGTGGGTCCAATCTCCTTGATCTTGAACCAGTCGGAGGAGCCATCTGCAGCGGCAGCAGAGTCGACCTTGGTCATGTAGAAGGTGACGGGACCTTGGTGGTAGACAGCCTGGTCGGCGGTGAAGGAGACGGTGGAACCAGCAGCGACCGAGACAGTGGTGGTGCCGCTGCCTGAGTTACCGCCAGCATTGCATCGCAAGTTCTTGTCCGCAAGGTCGGTGACGGGGCTGTTGTTGGGAACGGGCCTGATGTTCTGGAAGTTGGCACCCTTCACACCGTTGGCGGTGAGCTGTTGGAAGATGTCTTGTACCTATTAGTATATACTCGTGCAGAATGTGTGGTGAAGTGCCATACAGTGGCCCGAGGCAACGTTGGCAAAGGCCGCAACGGCGGTGGCGATAGCAACACACTTCATGATGTGGTATTGTTAAGTGAGAGACTGATGAGGATAGCGAATGAACTCGAAGGTGCTGATGATCTTGGTAGAGAATACGAGAGCAAAGTCCCCGGTTCTTATATATGTTCTTCCTCACAGATACGACGCCTCGAATGGATACCACTCCATATTGCAGCACGCAGGACATGACCAGAGAGGGTAAACGTCAAGCCATGATTGGCCCAAGCATGAAACTCGAAATGAAGAAACGTCACAGGACAGGCACGATGGGTACTGCAAGGCGGCAAAGAACCCGGGACGTGAGGTGGAGTGTGGATACCCATTGCCGGTGGCAGTTCGTAGAATTTTCCTTCTGGAACGACCTTGTGACAGCCTTCGACGAGGCGAACAAGTGATGGTATGGCAGGTAATATCGCGAGTATGGGGGCTTGACATGCAGGACTGCAGGTCATTGGTCATGCATGCACGAAATGTGCATACCTGACGAATAGGAAAAGCGCATGTGCCGGCGACGGTGGGTTCTATCCGTCGGAGCTAGAGACTGGCGCATTTGCTGGAACTGTACAACACTGGACGCCTAGGATAGATTAATATCTGGGGTAATATGTTTTTAATCACCATGGACCAAGCTAGGGCGGAACTTGAGGCGAGGTGAAGAAAAAGGA